ATTTTTTTAGTATATTACTTGTGTGGTGTAGAAGAGAATTATTTATGTAGAGTTACTGCTTGCAAACCAATGATGTAAGATGATGTCATGGGGTAGGACTGGATAAGTCTGACTTCTTCCTACTCCATTCAAGCATGTACTAGGTATAAGCAAATTGATATTGGATTAGCATTTGTTGGATATGTGTAAAATTATGTGTTGACATATCAACTGTCTTTACATGCTTGAAAGAATAAATCAAATCAAATCCTTCAATGTGACAACAGACTGACAGAAGTATGTGGACATGGGAGCTGTCCAAGAAATGATGTATCAAAAACTACATTTTAGTTGACTCAATCTAAGCATATGATCAGTGATGGGCAGACTCGAAATTAGGGGTGCAAGATTTAGGAAAATAATTGATGTAGAAAATGTAGAAAAATATCATCTGGACTTTTAGGTAGAAGACATTTCGCCTCTTGTCCAAGAGGCTTTATCAGTTTTGTCCAACTTAGTCGATTTTTGTTCAGTAAAAAGGCCAAGATTATTCTACTGCAGTCGTAAGGAATATGTGCCAGTGTCTTTGAAACATGTGTGCCCATACATAGAATCTGGCAGCACAAAAGTTCATGGGGAAATGCCACTTCCCATTTTTGATTGTTTCTCCCTCCTGGATCGACCCAGAACTCACTCCAATCCATCATCTTGAAGGACATCCCAAGAGATGTTACTCTGAATTTGGATAAAACTAAATTTATGGTATTTGGGAATCGTAGACTAGATAATGAACTTCAATTGAAAATTGGGGGAACTAATATAGAACGAGAATATAAAATTAAATTTCTAGGTTTCATAGTTGATGACAAATTCTCCTGGAAATCTCATATCAGATATGTTCAGCACAAAATAGCAAAAAATATATCGATATTGGCAAGGGTTAGATATATTTTGGACGGGAAAGCACTACGCATTTTGTATTCTTCATTGATTTTACCATACTTAGAGTATGGCGTTGAAAACTGGGGAAACACATACAAAAGCTCACTTCAACCATTGTATATATTACAAAAAAGAGCGATAAGAATTGTGCATAAGATGGGGTA